CGTACCCTAGTGACCAGCATATATATATATATATGTAGTATTACACACGAGACATTCTGAGCATAAATCATTTCCAAACACTACATCACACTTCATGTCGTTTTAACGGTAAACTGTAAAACACTACACGTAAAGAAGGGAAATCTCCTTTCTAGAACGTGTTATCGGTGCATGAAATATCCCCAAAGGACACGGTTAAAACCTTATCATCTCTCACGTGTTGTCGTTTATCTTGTCGTAAATGTGTTACCTAGTTCACAGTATATTTGATATGATTGAAAATCGATACTTTGACGTCACTAGATTTAAACAGATCGATAGAGTTCTTACTAAATATAAACATCAAAGCATTTAACGGTTCCATTGTAGTTGCATCTAAAGAGATGTCATATATCCAAGTTGACTTGCGTTGCCATGGTAACCAGGAATCTTTAACTTTATTTTGTGTGTATTGAAACGAAGCGTTTGATTCTCTCTTTTTTATCTTAAAACTATGCGGAACGCTAAACAATGTTAAATTTCGTAAAAGAGGTGCTATTTTAAAACAAATCCGTCAGTCTCATCTATGTTTGATATGAATCCTGAAAATGTAAACAATAACAACTAAACAAGATATATTTTGATATACAAGAGGAGAATTTTTCACGAGATAAATAAACTTTTGAATTTCCTCCTAACAGACACACAAGTCATCCGTGTAGTGCAGAGAAGTCACTTGAACGAGAATAAATTCACAATTTTTGATGTTTTTTGGTTTATTCTCTCAATGACTTTGAATATAACAAAAATGATTCCCCGTTTGAAAAGTGGATACGAGACTTTTTCACACACATAAATGTATAGTTTGATAAAGTTGCACAATTTTTCTGCTTCACTGAAGCGAGTACAAATTACGATGTCGTAATGGTAACATTGGTGACGTAATGCACGTCTTTCATATGTTGGTGCAGAGTTCACCGTTAAAAAAATGGAATAGAAAAGAAACATATGTCGAACCTTGCACAAAAATTACTTAAATCCATAATGACGTCTAGACAGATTTTCAGCCATACGTTTAACGTATCTCCGCATAGGCTGTGCTTGACTATACAATACGATCGCTTAATACAAATGCATATAATGAATAGTTGTCATTAAATCAGCTATGAACGCCATATTAACGACAGAATGATCTCCAGTTTCCATGTAAACCTATACTAGACATAAGTGGCATTGATCAGACTGTTAATGCCATTGTTTTTCGAGGCCATTAGTATGTCACAGTCTTAACAGCGACAATAATCACACCACATATTGATTTCCATTATAAGTGGATTGACGTAACGGTTGGGTTGGCTTGTGACATCAGCAATGCATTTATATGCAGTACAAACAGAGTTCATTGATCATATGCAAATTTCTTTCTTATTTTCGTATGTAAATTTTATGAAATAGCTTTGTAATCTATCATGGAAACATTTAATCCGTTGTGAAAATCCTAATATCCCCTTGTTTGTTTTTTAATTTTTGTTTTTTGTCTTTGTTTTGTTTATGCTTTTCAATGTTGTATTAAACAATTGCTGATCATCTTTATAGATTTACAATTAAATTAAATAATAAACCATTGTTATGGTACAAATCCTAGTTTACTCCAACAGAACTACCCATGGAGAAAAAATCAAGAAGCTGTAGAGCGTCCCCGAGACAGGATAACATTTTATAGCAAATTGTTACTTTTTACTCGATTTTAGTTATAGATTTATATCTAACAGAGGTAACTAATACGTTAAACAATATTGTCAAAAAAAAAAAAAAAATAATAATAATAATAACTTTTTCAGTTTACTTCAAACTTTCTACGTAACAAATATACACGATGTACGTCATGGTATTATGTGTGTGGAATACGTCACTGGGTTGTGTGTAGCATATGATTAACTATCACATATTAAAATACAACCACTGAACAACGAACATTTTTCATGTATATATTTGAGGTAGATTGTGTTGACAAGACCTTGTCAAATTGGATTAGGCATCTTAATAAACTGCCCGATAATTTTAATTTAAATGTGAATTGTTTCGAAGTCATGTGTAGTTAGAGGACTGATGCATGGCGCAGATGTTTCTCGCATTAACACGTAATTACTAAAAGGAAACGAAACGAAAGTAAAATGAATTGTTTTAAGTATCGTCTATAACAAAGGACTTAAATCAGCTCTGGGGTTATAAGATTGCTGTATCGGTCCTTAAGAATCCATATCGCAGCTTAAGAAGGTAAAATTTGGTTAACCAGCTAGCTATCGACTAGAATATTGTAGAGTTATTCTCTTCCTGTTTCAATATCACTTTCACATGATTTACGATTAGGTGGGCGTTTAATGTAGAAACTCATAACATCGTTTTGTCGCACGTAAGAGTACAAGACCCATGCATCAACGCACAGACGCAGTAAACTACATTATTGAAAGTTATTTGGATGTACTTCGTCATATCACTTAATATTATCGATAGGTTTGTTTCTAATTTTTGTTATTTACGGTTTTTGGCAATCCTTCGTCCGTCGGATTGTTTGTGAACTGATCGTTTTACAACTTGTTTAGGGAAGCAGATCTCATCATTTAATTTCTACATAGACTATAATACTTAAATTCCATTACCAATATAATGAACCATCCGCCATCACGGGAGTTTAATTTTACTCGGCGCGTTCGGTTTGTCCTTCGCAATATTAATTCAGTCTGCACTTGTAGAACTTATATAGTAAAATAGGTTTTTTTGTGTGTGTTTGTAATTGTCTTTGAAATATAACTACGGATACTGTGAAGTTAGCAACGCTTGCAATTTGTCTGATATGTCGTCAAGATTGCAATGCATTTAACACGGTAACAATTTTACTTTATGACGTGTCTCATGTGTCAGACTCTCGATGCATCTGATACATTGTCAAGTTAACAAAGTATCTTGTATGTTGTCTAGTAAACATTGTGTCTTGTATATGTTGTCAAGTTAACAATGTGTCTAGTATATTATCAAGTCAACGATGTGTCTAGTATGTTGTCAAGTTAACAATGTGTCAAGTGTGTTGTCAAGTCAACGATGTGTCTAGTATGTTGTCAAGTTAACAATGTGTCTAGTATGTTGTCAAGTCAATGATGTGTCTAGTATGTTATCAAGTCAACGATGTGTCTAGTATGTTGTCAAGTCAACGATGTGTCTAGTATGTTGTTAAGTTAATAATTTGTATATTGTGTTATCAAGTTAACAATATGTCTAGTGTGTCAGTGTGTTGTCGAGTTAACAATACGTCTAGTATATGTTGTGTAGTTTGCAAGCTAACAAAACCTCTGATATATAGACAATTCTTGTGAGGAAGCTTGACCGCTTCAGTGAAAATGTATTATCGGATTAAAAAAAATATATAAACATGCGTCTATCCTTGTGACCGGAAATTTAACGCCTGGCTAACTACAGGTTTTTAAAATACAATAGATACAGTTTAATTTGAAATTGAAAGTGTTTCATCAAGAAAAAAAAACTAACAACGCATTATAATGTGTCTTTAATGAATCACCGTCCATATGTGTGGTTGTAAAGTAAGAATGTTTGAACTTGTTCCAAAACTTCGCCAGCAGTGGTTTATTGTAAGTGGGGGCTAGTAAATCCTTCACCATATCTAAATCGCCTGTTACTATTTTACTCCTAACGAATCTGCCCGAGAAAGAATTTACCGACCACCAATGACATACATACCACGAAATTCATTTATTTATTCATTTTTGCTCGGTTTTTATGCAGTTATGACTAAAATAAGAAGAAAAGAAAAACGAATGATTGAAAAATATCCACATGTTATATATGTTAACTTTGTTATGTGAATAACATACATATTATCTAACTTATTCGAATCCAACATTCGAGATTATTCTTCCGACACCATTCTCCAGGATGTATACATTATTTACAATTCTCACCTCTAACTTGACAAAATTTCGTAAACGACAAGGTACTTAGGATAATACTTTTGTATTAATATATTGGAGAGGCCCTCTAACCGTTTTGTCGCGTTACATTGGATAGCATTCACATTTCTGTATTTAAATAGAAGCAGGAGTTTAAATATATAATATATAGGAATGTAGTTATTGTCTTATTCTAAACGAAACAGAAATGTGTATTCCCATACACCATAACATTATGTACTTCCCTATTCTTTTTAATCAATTGATTATTGATCGATGTGTGGTAGGTAACCTGCTCTATTCAAATGACATACTAAGAAACACAATGTAAATTAGGTCAATACTACGTCAGGCAAACGTTTAAAAAATAATTCTAAAGATTTAACTATGTCAAGATTTCAGAGATAATACGTTGAACCGGAGACTTTGTACTCGATAGGTTGTAGATGCGTTGACCAAAGTGACGTCTTAAGGTTTGGGCCACTCTGTGAACTTTCCATCGTTTGTTTCGGCCGCGCCAATTAATCCGCCGTGCTAAATCTTTTGTGAATCATACAGACAGAAGTTAATCAATAGATTTATAATGAAGTTGTCCTACGAAATAGAAATGTTCCCGCCCCGTCATCACATTCCCGGCTTCGCTGATGTATCGGATCCTTTATTAATTTTCCTGACTATGAAAGAGTGCAGGGTCGAGATAGTTTCGTTTCGACACTAGCTGAATGGCGTTTGATAGCACGTTTTTAAATCGCTGCACAAACAACCATTACAACATGTCATTGCGTCTTTTTTTCTCCTGACCAACCCAAAAATGATTTAGTATGGGTCGACCAAATCGACATCTCCATTCATGAATCAATTTGGCGGGAAAAAGATAAAGAGGCCTTGCTATCGATTTTGTATTGTCGAGATGAGATATATAGCCAGACCCATGCGACTTTTGCCATAACACTGACAAAAGTTCACTGATATGTTTTATCTCAATTTCAAATTTCAATCTTTCCAGATGCTTTGCGTGTTTCGAGCGACGACCAGTATTGAAGAAGCAGACGACTGATCGGGTAAAGACGCGGGAAAACCTGTACCTTTGCCAAGCATTCGACCGTTTCACGGTATGGGTTAACATGGATATACTATAAAGGGAAAAAGCAAGGAAATAAGAAAAGCAATTCTTTATGTGTGGAAAAAGTTATAAATCTCTTTGCCGATTCACTAAGTTAATGAAGAATATAACCATGGAAACTCAACACGGATTACTGTGTAATTTCTGAAGCAGATGGGAGACCGGAAATTTATTCTGATAAGATATTTTGTGAAAGTGTTTAATGTAAAGCACGGAAAGTGTGGCGAAAATTCAAAATCAAATTAAAATGGAGGTGATAGAAAAATGGCGGTAGATAATGCTTCAGCAGAAAACTTTCCTGAGTTTTCTGCTTTGTCCACTTCCTGGTCAAGTGACGTCACTCAAATCTCGGATCCCACGAGATTATATGAAACAACTGAAAATCCGTTCACGACAATTATTGGAGCAATTTTACAAACAACCGTGTCATCAAATCTTAGTCCATTAAATATATCCTCGAACGTCGGTCAGTTCTCGACTACTGACGAGCTAGACACGTCTACCTCGCTTTTCTCAAACTTCGTAACTGTTAACTTTACGGATGTTGGAAATTGGACGAACCAAACATTAGTATCTGGACCCAAGCATACACTTCCTGAAATCGTCGCTTTATCTATCCTTTTAATAACACTCGCTCCTGCGACGATTATCGGTAATCTGTTAGTGATAATCGCGTTTAAAATCGACAAACAACTACAAACGATAAGTAACTACTTTCTGTTGAACCTTGCAGTGGCAGACATGGCGATAGGGTTCGTATCCATGCCTTTGTATACTGTGTACACGTTAATGGGTTACTGGCCACTCGGATCTCTCTACTGTGATCTCTGGCTTTCTATGGACTATACTATGAGTAACGCTTCGGCAGCCAACCTCATGCTCATTAGTTTCGATAGATATTTATCGGTGACGAGGCCGCTTACGTATCGAGCAAAGAGGACAACAAAGAAGGTGCTTATCATGATAGGAATGTCCTGGGTGGTATCTGCGTTGCTATGGACGCCCTGGATATTTGCATGGCCATATATTGAAGGTAAAAGAACTGTACCGGAGACAGATTGTTACATTCAATTTCTGTACACAAATGCTTACGTGACAATCGGAACTCATTTGATTGCGTTTTATATTCCAGTAACTATAATGACAGTGTTATATTTTAAAATTTACAAAGAAACGCGAAAAAGACAGAAACGTATGCCGATGTTGCAGGGAATGAAAGAAATGATAAAAAAGAAGAAAGCGTCAAATATCAACGATTACGACTTTTACGCTCGTCGTTACGATAACGAGTTTGATGACGTATACGACCTGGCTGATATGCTGGTCGAACCTGATAAATCTATCTGGTCAAGGTGCTCTTGTTGTAAGATTGATCGTGATTATGACGCAGATGAGTCGAGCGCAAGCGACCCTGCTTCTCCAACAGCTAATAACAGTTCATTTTCAGATGCACATTCTTCGTCAGTTCGATCTCATGTTTACACCACAGATCAAAATAGGATACCAAATAAACAAATGAATGGAAGGACATCTAGCGGGAGAAAGAAAAGTAGTAACACGAGTAATTTGGTAATTCCGCTTATGGCAATGGAGGCAGCGAGATTCACGCCTTTGATTTCAAAGTCATCGCGAGATGATCGGTCGCCATTTGCGCCGACCAATCGACGGGAGGGATTGACTCCTCAACAGAGTAGGGATTGTGATGAACCTCTTATTGAAGAATGCGAGGATTTATATACAATAGTTATTAATTTTCCAAATACTAAAACCGATTCCGAAATTGGGCCTTCGATACGAATGCTTTCGGACGACGAAGACGCGGATATCATGTCGCCAAACAGACATTCAAAAATATCAGAAGAAGATAGCGATTCTTTATCAAATGAGGGTCTAGCTCGCGAAGAGTCTACGTTTTCATTTCAAAGTTTAGAAAGAACTCGAGAGAATTGTTTACCCCCACCTAAAGGAACGCCGGCCTTGGGTCGGAGAACACGATCCAATGATGCGCAAAGATCTGCGCAGAACGCTAAGTTAGCGGCACAGGTTGCATACAAAGTGAAGCAACAAAGAGCAAGAAAAAAACGCTCAGAAAAGAAACAGGAAAAAAAGGCCGCAAAGACACTGAGTGCCATATTGTTGGCATTTATAGTGACATGGACGCCATACAACATTATGACGCTGGTAGAAATATTCTGTAAAGGTTGTGTTCCACATCTTCTCTACAACTTCGGTAAGTAATACATAACTTTTGTGTGATTCGGTTTCGTTTCATCTTCGATAAGTACCAGTTAATCTTTAACCACTAGGTACGACACAGCCATGGAATAGACCGCCACTTTTGCTACAGTTTTGCTACAGTATTGCTCTTTCCTTCGAGATAGATCTGACCAAATAAATATGAATACATTTTCTATGTCTATATGTAGTTCTAGTTATGAGGAAAGTTGTCTAACTTCTTTACTTCCGATTAGTCTGTGTATTACAGTATTGATCCGTCGTGTATCCCACTGCATGATCATACCAGACAACGATTTTAGAAGTTTCTACGTATTACCGAGGAGATTCTTGTGTATCTTTCACGTTTAAAAAGGAATTTGAAGATAAGAAACCACATATGCAGTATCTGTTTAATCAAATACAATATTTTTTATGCTTATATTTTTTCAAACCAAATTAATGTACCGATGTCCCTCTTGGTCCATATGCTATGCCGATTTCCGAACACGTGTCCCTCCTGTGGCATGTTTTGTACCGATTGTGCGTTGAGACTGTAACATTGCACTAACAAAGCCCACAACAGTTGAATTATTTTTACATTTTACAACGAATCTGCATGTTTCAAATATAACTATTTCTGAAGCATAGTATATTTTGATAAGTATATAGCGTAACATATAAAAACGCTGATTAAACCCTTGATTCTCTATTAATTAATTTGCATGTTGTTGCACTCTCTTACATTGCTTCTATCCTTTTTTAGGCTATATCTGAACATTTTCGCTGTGGTTTGATTTCCGCTTTATTCGCCCTTCGATTGCGAGGGCGAACTCAAGACGTAGACGAAAAATGTTCAATCACTTATTATATTCTTTATAACTAAACTCCGAAGGATTACAGTACTTGTAAGTGCAGAATGTTAAACAGTATCCTGGTATACATAATTTCGTAGTACCACATATAATGTATTCCGGGATTGTTCGCCCCCGTTTAATTTCTCCCTTTTCGCCCATGAGCAGAGAGGGATCCTCAGAGGGCGAAATGAAAACAAGACGAAAAAGTGTTTATGGTACAAGCGTGAAAATAACCTGAGGCGAAAATATCCCTTTATACAGCAGCAGTAGAAGTAGGTGCAATTTTTGAGGTCATTACCAATTTGTATTAACATTCTTAATATCATTACTACTGGAAACGCAAAATATTTTCATCGCTTCTCTCAAATAATTCCAAATAAATTTGTTATATAAAAATTAAACAGGATTATGCAGTAGCGCAATGTTTTGTTTTATGTGTTTCCCCACTCTTACAAAGCAATATTGCAAATTGCCAATTTCTGAGAAATCATCGCCTTCAGAATATTACCCGCAGTCATATTTTTTGTTGTCGTTCCTAGAACTGCGTTAACAGGAACGCAGATCACAAGAGTACTTCCGCTGACTGCGGGCAAACAACTTTTAATATCTCTACTTGTTTATTTTTTTTGTTTTAAATTCAACTCTTACTTGAATTAATTTGATTTTTGCTAAAGACAATTTTGAACCTCATGTGATCCTTTTGCTTGTCACTATGACGTCAATTCACGCTTTTTCTGACAAAATGCGTATTTTACCCAATTGACTGCTGGCTATGTCATGTCTCTAAGCAATAATTTATCAAATACACTTTTTAGCAGAAGTTTTCGAATTTTGCATTTTGTTTCCTCTTGATAATCCGGATGTTTATGAGAATTATTGAGCTTTTCGCCAATAAAAACAGAAAACTAAATAGATCGCCGCAACAGATCGCCGCTTTCGGTTCTAAAAGTACAACGAACTTCACAGTCGTAGAGTCTTTAGATCTATTGGAAACATCAACAACTTTTTTCAGTTGCAAAGAAAAATCAATTTTACACGCAGCTTTAAAATTATTTTAATAAAAAAATATTTTCCTTATTATATTTATTCAACGGGGAATCCCAAAAGCTTGATCTAAGTCAATTTCATTTTTGAATTAATCTTGTTCTTGAGATGGCAGCAAACTACATTTGTGTTTTATCTTTTTCTCTTGAAAATGCAATTGCCTTGAGGTTGACAAGCATGATGAAAAGTACTTTACAGTAGTGAATAGGCTGTTGTAAATTGTATTTTGCGGTAGCGTAAATAACCCATTCAGGCTATGTGATCTGACGTCACATTGAGATAATGAAGAAACGTAGTCCAGATGGAGTAGCTGTATTATGAATTAATGAGATTGTTATCATAATGCAAAAAGTGGGAGCGTGACAGTATGTATCCTTCAAAGCAACATAATTACTGATAATATGTTGTAAACACTTGTTTTGACAAATTTTAACAAAACAACCTTCCGTAAATATAAATCGCTACCATACTACCATACACTCCTGCTCCGCGGATTAGCCAATGATTGCATTGTCCGCGGTATAGGGTAGAGTTAATGATCAGTATCGTATATATTTCATCATTGTGTTCGCATGACACTAGCATGAAGGCACATGTAATATCATATAGCTAAGGCTGATAAATTCAATATAAACATTTGTCATGGATGGACGAACATTATCTCAATCTAATCTCCTTTTACTAAATATTGAAAAGACGTGAAAATGTCGGGTCGAACGTACTCTTCACCGCCAAACAATCTTAGGACTTCACTTTGATCTTTCCTCATTTTGAAAGGCTGATATTCGTGTATACTGAGCGGTTTTATTGTCAGTTCCTCAGTTCTTTCTTTGAGAACCTGATATTACACAATTTTGAACCTCGATTTACATCAGGAACATTATCGATGGAACTGAGAATCTTCAGATTCTCCTTGTATGCATATTTTTTCGTGTAAGTCTTTTTGTTCCTAATTTGTCCCGGTATTGTCTAGTCTGTTATAGAATATATACATTCATTGACTGAGAAAATACCACGAGTTAATTATACAAATGATTTTCTAGCATTTTTTCATTTCATTTGTAAACAATTTTTGTAAATATTTATATCTATCCCACAACTGGCGCTGCGATTATCGGAATACACCTGCCACATATAGTTTGCTGTGTTCGGCAGTGACGGGAAGCAGATGGTTTTTTTTTTGTTTTTGTTTTACCACGTGCGGGAATTTGACATAGTTACTTTATGGATTTACTTAAAAATTACATTTGACAATGAAAATAACCGTTGAAATAAGCTATTTCATATGTTGTAATGAACATGTTTATTACGACAATTTATAAAATCGCTGTCATATCCATTGAATTTTGAAACTATATTTTTGCGCAGAGCAATTATTTTGGCTTACGCCATCAGGCAAAATTCAGCGTACATCAACGTCAGGTAAACATTAAGGATTAAACAACAAAACTGTAGAAGATTTGATGGTCTGATTTTCAATCAATGTTGCAGGATCAGTGGCCTGCCACTGACCATGTATTCTCTATATAACAATAGTTTACATGATGACGTAACATGGATACTTTGTTTTAATTACAAAAGCAAGAGCAAAGAGTAAATAAATGAATAAATAAATAAATGAATAAATAAATAAATAAATAAATAAATAAATAAATAAATAAATACATAGATAATCAGCGATACCATTCCTAAAATCATTAGAAACGTTTCAGATTGTAATATTTTGGATATCAAGTGTGATTTGAGATTTCTATTAATTAAATTGACAAAGTTATCACAAGCACGAGTGAAGAGACGCTCTATGATATGTTTTTTTAATATTTACGATGACCTGAATTGCAGAAACCAATGTAGCAGTTATTGTTTTATAAGACAATCAAGGACATTATGTTCTAGCCTCTTTTCCTTATCGGCGCCAGCTCCCAAACAAACTTTGATATTGATTGAATTTTCAAACCATACGGCGAAGTTAAGTTAGCATTTTATAATATACAATACGCATTATTACAAAATGAGAATTTCATTCAGATTGGCAGAAATTGCTTCAACTGAAACCATATTGAAAGCTGATAAGAATAATATGTGGTAGATATAGGAAAATTGAGTTATAGGTAGTATGTGATATTGTTTTTTTTTTGTTCTAACTGTTTCCTACAGCAGTTTTGGTGACTCACAAATCGGGTATGGAAAGCATCACTTTTGACTAATTTGTTCTGATAGTTTAGATTTCATATGTGGTGTGATGTTCGTGTACGAGATACAATATCGATTGGTATTGTCTTAACTGGAACAGATGTCCTATCTTTCATGATATATGCATTATGATATTTGTATATATAATACATACACATTTTGTATGCTTCTAGAAATTCCATTGGTGATCAGATTCTGTGGATGTATTGTCTTTAAATAAATGGCGAATAGAAATTGTTTTGTCCTCAAACATATCGTTATACATCAATCGATCAGATATTGACCTACTGTGTAAAAAAAGGAGGGGGTATTTAGTAATCATTTTGTGCGTCCGTGCACGAGTACGTGTGCAAGTACGTGCATGATAAATGTCTGTACAAGAATATTTTTTAAACCCCTCGACAGATGTATTTCAAATTCGCACAGTAGCATCAAACGATCATGGTCTAGATTTCGGTGGCCATTAGTCAAGGCTAAAGGTCACTCTTGACCAATTGCTATTCACACAATAGCGTGATACCACGAAAGTTTACACCTTACTAAAATTTAGTGGTCATTGGTTAAGGTTAAAGGTCAAAGTTCACTCTCGACAATTCTACTTATACAAAGCTTGTGTACAAAATTGGGGTGTGTGTTACTACTCTTTTATCATAAAAAAAATATCCACGTGTTGATAAATATCCAAACTATAGACATGACTCAACTGATATATACATGTATGCGTCAACGGACTTTCAGTTTCATTTTCCGGAAATTCTGTTGAGGGCGATAGACGATAAAATATTTTTGAAATAAAATCAAAGATGATATATACTACGACAATCGCTTTTAACGTATTAGAAACAATGGCATTCGTCTTTATTCGCAAATATATTCGCCGTCATTCCTGACACAGAATAGATTGGAAGAATTTTATTACTCG